TGGCAGGCGGTACTGCAGCATCAGGACTAAAACCACTAGACTCAGGGACAGCTTCATCCCACAGGCCATAAGACTATTAAACACCTGAACTTTGAAACAACATCCATAACATTCATCTGGCTGCTACTTAGAAATTATTTGTCTATATCATATTCCAATCACTTGTATATAGACTCTTATTGCACGATAGCCCTTATTGCACCTAAGGGGGGGGGGGGGGGGGGGGGGGGGGGGGGGGGGTTTATGTCCAAATCCATCAGATCTAGCTAGTTCTAGCTAATGATATGGCTGCTGCCCCTCTCTACACGCAAATCACGCAGACTCAAACCTCATCTTATGCCCAAATGCGCTCCGCAGCCGTTGCGAGGTTCCGGCGCTAACAGTTCATGAGCGTGCTCCCCCGCCCCCTGTCAACACTCGTGACACATGAGTGGCCAGCCTAAACAACAATAAGTGCTGCTTGGCAACCGTGTGTGGCGGCAAAGTACATAGACATATTCAACATAATTATTTACACTCTAAGAAGAGTCCTACACAACAGACATGGCGTTAAAAAGGAGTAATGTGTGGAAATATTTCGACCAGGTTAGTGAGTGCGGTGTAGAGTGCAAACTATGCCAAATTAAACTTATATATATACATATACCTTGCTATACCCGCAACCTCCGTTCCAGCTGAGAGGGTCTTCTCTACAGCTGGCCTGATTGTGAATCGCCTCCGCACATGAAAGCTGTAGGCCTATAGCTGTCAAACTGTGATCACCAGTTCAATACATTTGACAAATTTGACTTGGTTTCTATACTTATTTGAACATGTATTTATTTATTTCCAAAAGTTATTGAAAAAAATGTTTTCGAAAAAAAATGTTAGAAATTTTTTTTTGACCACATTTTTTTTTTATAGGATATGTACATTTCGGTTAACCGGTTAACCGTTTTTTGGGGGGTCGAATATTCGAATATATATTTGCTTTCAAATTCCCATCCCTAGTACATATGCCAGGCCAGTAGATGGTGCTGTTCTCACTGAATCTGCCCTTGCAGAGCAGAGCTCAAAAAAGTGCAAATTGAGCGAAATGAGGCATGGCTAAAATGCATGATCTGTTTGGTATTTTGAAAAGAAAAAAGTATAAATATGCCTCATATAGGTATGGTCCTACACTATATTATTCAAATATAGCATGATAGGTCCACTTTAACCATATATCGAGCCCGATCGTCGATTTCAAATGTGTGCTCTAAAATGATATTATATATATATTATATATATTATATAATTATAAATGACTATTATCATTATTATAAGCAAGACAATAAATGGCAAAGATATGTAGAAAATAACCGTATTTAAGATACGTTCATACCAAACGTAACGTGGGAGAAAATATGTTTCTAGAAGATATGTAGAAAATAAACGTATTTGAGATAAGTTCATAACAAACGTAACGTGGGAGAAAATATGTTTCTAGAAGATATGTAGAAAATAAACGTATTTGAGATACGTTCATAACAAACGTAACGTGGGAGAAAATATGTTTCTAGAAGATATGTAGAAAATAAACGTATTTGAGATACGTTCATAACAAACGTAACGTGGGAGAAAAACGTTTCTAGCTAAACGTAATTGAGAATGCAGTTTAGTTCTGTGGGAACGTAATTTTTAGGAGACAGGGTTGGACATAGACATCAAATGGCAAAAACATATTCAGTGTGCAGTTCCTTTGGCATTAGGGCAGGGATATTTAGATAATTTCCAAGGTTTGACATAATGAATTGTGCTATTTTTAAAGCAAGCAACGATGTTTTCAAATCTGTAATAAAAAAGGTCCGCAAAAACGCTATCGACCAATCAGATTGCTTGATTTGACTTGTCCGTTTTATAAATATATTTACATTTCTTCCGTTACGAAACAAACTTACAAAGCATAAGATGGAAACATTTAAGATTAACTTCGACCTCCGGGGGGGTCTTACTATGGAGGAGTGGATTGAGGAGTGCCGCCTATCTCCAGAAAGAAAAGCACCTAAAAACGACGACATGCAGAGCTACGTGAAGAGCAGGTACATGTCATGTAGACCAACTGGAAAGGTACCACCATTCAAAAGCTTTCTGATGCGGGTCTTGAAACAAAGCAGATAAATTATGACCGTTAGTGGCCACAGGTGCGAAAGCTCTCTCCAGAGCTACTGGAAGCCGACTCTTGGGGACCGGAGAAAGTGGAGCAATAATCTCGCCACGCCAAGCAACAGCCTAGAACAGGGGTGTCAAACTCAAGGCCCGGGGGCCAAATCCGGCCCGCCACTTCATTGTATGTGGCCCACAAGAGCTTGCAAAGAATATAATACGTTTATTATAAGCAGTGGCGGCGCCAGGGTATTTTTGTTGGGTAATCTATGGTAGGGCTAACCCATACAGTGGTGGTGCTCAAGTCAGTATTTGCAATTGAATTACATACACGCAGTGGCGTTTTTATATGTACAAAAGTGGTGGGGCACAAAAAACTTAGATGTCTATATATAAGCTTCTGCAGTGACGTGCAGTGAGGTTCATGGCTGGTGAGGCACTGGCACTGACTCTTCAGGTTTACAAATATTATATTTTGACCTAAACCAAAATATAATATTATTTTCAAAAGCTTTTTTTGTCTGATGCTTCGATTAATTTTAAACAGACAGTTCAACAAAAGGATACCCAAAAAATGTCATTTTATCATTTAAATATTGAATTGTTCTCTCTTAGTAAGATCCCATTTTCAATAAAATGGCGGTCTTACCTTGACTTGAAGATGAAGTCCATTTGCCTATCCTTCTGGACAAACATTTCTATTACTTTTTTGTAAAAGTCCTCCTTATGTTCTTGTAGTTTCAAAAGTCTATCATAAATCTAATCCATAGATTTATGATAAAAAAATTATAAAAGTAGGGTAGACATGTGGATGTTATCCGGCTAATCAAAACGTGCATTTATCTAACAGGTACGTTTCCCACAGATCTTATTTCGAGCTATTTTCTAAAATCCTCTGGAGAAATCTCATTGCTTTTTTGTCGAGGGAAGCCATGCGCAGCTTACTTCCTGGTTTTAGGACGCGCCACTGCAGCTCTCTCGTCTCCTCTTCACACAGCACACTTTTCGCGGCACACGTACTTACAGCCAATCAGCTCTGAATGATTTGAGACGACGTATAGTGGGGATGGTAGCTCCATTATTTTTTTGCCACACACATTTCATTACAAAATACTCTGAGCATGCGCAGTGTAGTTTTTACAGTCACCGTTGACTTCACAGCGAGAGGAAGGGGCATAATCAGGTTTTGTCCCACATGGCTCTAAACAGCTCAATAGGCACACACTGTGACTGTAGACACACTAATTAGAAGAACACAGACTAAAACAGCAATGTACAGACGAATCAGATGATTAAACATGATCTTAAAATATATTTTATATATTTTTTTATTTATTTTTTTGCATTTTTGTAATCATTATTTGTAATACTTTCTGCTGACACTAGGTGGGGCTGTGCCCCACCTGCCCCTAATGACCAGTCGCCACTGCATACACACTATATCGCACCCCGTGAAACAGTGAAATGCCACACGTGAGGTTTAGATTATTTCCCTTTCTCAATCAAAATGGAACTGTATGAAATAAAACGGCACATTTGTCTTATAGTAAATAAAAAGGGATCACTGTGAACGGACATATGATAGTACACGTTGAAGATCCAATAGGGATACTGAATGGCGGTTCCGATTGATCTCAATCAGTAATGCATGACGCAGACCCAACGTTTCGTTGCTCTGATTGGCTGTAGGTCTATTCAAATTGCATTCGGAGGCATTTTGATCTGACCGCGGCCGCGCTGATATTATAACGCCAGAGAATTTCCACACCTTTAGTGTATAAAACTCCCCCACTACTTAGACTATTCCTTGCACCCCTCTTCTATAAGCCCGAATGGTCTCAACCATATTGCATCAGTAACGTGCACTTGTTGTTACAGCAGGATCAGTTTGTGTGTTGTGGACACGACCCGTATATTTTCGCAATCCGTGTTCTCAACATTTTGCATTTAGCTTATTATTTAATTGAATTTGCTTACTTTAACATCACTTTTCATGGTGGGGCTAAGGTGGGGCTAAGCCATTTCTTGGTATGGCTGTAGCCTACCCCAGCCATACCCTGGCGCCGCCACTGATTATAAGGTTACGTGCCGCTTTACAGGAGCACGTTGCCCATAAACTACATGTCCCACAATGCATCTCATTTTGTGAGATGCGCACTGAAGAGACTTGCCATTAATTGCAATTATTTGCCCTAGACTTCTGCTTTCAGACGTATAGTTAATTATGAAGTTATTACCCTATCCGATAATAATCCAATGCAGAGGAAATATTGTTAAATAATACATTATTTTATATATATTTTATATATTTATCAATGTATTTTTATATAGTCTTAAAGTTACCACCGGCCCTTTGAGTGCAACCATAATTCTAATGTGGCCCGCGATGAAATTGAGTTTGACACCCCTGGCCTAGAACAACCTCAACCTATACAAGTAACCACGTAAGCCATTCTACTGATGCTGGACAGTTTTTCAGTGGGTGCACAATAAACGGCAACATACAAATGAATGTAAATAAATAGCCAAATAATGGATCAACGCTCTCTGTCTAATATGTTCGCTAGCTGTTAGTGTTGTTGCATAGCAACCACCTCGCACTATGTTTCGTGCAGAAGGCAACGGAGGGACTATTTTATTTTGAACATCATTATTTACTAATAAAAACTATTTAAATTAGAGTGTGTATTTTTCTTTCATATTGCCACACTTGGTAACCGTTTTATAAAAGCAATAGCTCACTTCAGGCCGTGATATATGCTCATTATATCACAGCTAAGGGGGTTGTCGACCCTCCGCTTCGCGTCGGGCCGAACCACGAGCATATACCACGGCCTGTCGTGAGCTATTGCTTAATTGTACACAATGGCTCTTACCTTAATTAATATGAGCTGCAGCGGTCTCTCTTCCTCCTGGAGTCAGAAGCAGCTCCTTTGTCACTACCCGATCGGTCCACCTGCCCGATCTGTACTGCGCATGTGCGAGATGGTACCACGTGACGTCACTGTATTCTAGCGCCGCCATTTTGGTGTCCGGTCACAGCAAGTCATTACAACAACAGAGAACACGGAGGAAGCAACAGAGAAAGACACATCGTGAATAATAAAGTTTGTGGATATGCCTGGGATTTGTTGTGCTGTGGGCTGTGACAATAGTCGCCAGAGGAACCCCGGACTACAGTTTGTATCGATCCCCAAAGACGTAGACCGTCGTAATAAATGGCTGGCTGCCATCAGAAGGGACCACTGGCAGCCGACATCTAACTCCAGATTGTGCAGTCAACACTTTGTTTCCGGTAAGCTCCTCACTTATTGTTATATTTTTGTCAGAAATACGTTTTCAAAATACTTCAACATAGATAATTCAGTTGCCGAATAATAATTACCGTTAGCAATGTAATGGTAACATAGCATGAGTAAAATATTCCCAGTTTTGAAAGGACTGCATTAGTTTTGCTCTGTGTTCCTTTACGCTTGAAACCGACTGAATTTGAATAAAAGACACATTTCTGGCAGAACATTGAGAAAGAAATTGCCGTTCTCAATATTATTGAATGCATGCCTTAAATTACTTGTGTATGTATATTACATGTATTATTGCTACTTTTACTTCAGTTAAGGATCGTAATACTTCTTGTCATTATCTTATTAGGAGGCCTATACACACATTAATATTCTACCATGTTTGCCTCTGTCTGCTTAGGAAGAACAAATGACAACCCCATGAGACCTGACTACATCACCAGCCTGTTTGCGCACACGTCAGCTGGACAGCGGCAGAGAAGCATCTATGCCACCAGCAGATTTGAGCATACTCAGCAGATGAAAAGGAAACGGACTGAGACTTTGGTTCCTGATAGTGACCATGAGACTGTGGCACCTCCCAGCACCAGTGATGCCACTGGGCTTGACATCACCTTAGTTGAACAGGTAGAATGTGTGAAAGATGACCACAGTTACTCTCAAGCCATTCTTAGCTCAGGTATTGTGGAACCATGCTCAAATGCAGCCTGCCAAGCTACGGTCAAGGCATTGACAAACGAGTGTGCACGATTAAGAGCTGAGGTTAATTGTCTTAAGGACAAAGTTAATGTGCTGTCTTTCAATGAAGAAGCCTTCAAAGGAAATGATGAGATGGTACAGGAACTAACAGGCCTACCAAGCTATGCTAAAATGATGGTTGTTTTTGGTTTCCTGTCTGGGTTTGTGAAAGCCGGTCCAAGACTGACTCCCTTTCATAGCTTTTTATTAACACTGATGAGAATGAGGCTTAACTTACCTTTATATTTTTTTGTTTATCTTTTTCATATGTCTAAGAGCAGTGTTGTCAGAATGTTCAACAATACTTTAGATGTCATGTATGTCAGACTGTCACCACTTATATTTTGGCCCTCAAAAGATCAAATTCAGGTTAGTCTGCCCATGTGTTTCAGGGATAATTTTAGCAACTGCACTTCCATCATTGACTGTTTTGAAATGTTTGTAGAGAAGCCAAAGAATTGAAGGGCACGTGCACAAACATACTCCTATTACAAGCACCACAACACTGTAAAATATCTAATTTCTATAACACCACAGGGTGTTACATCCTTTGTGTCAAAGGGCTGGGGGGGACGCACAAACGACAAGTACATTACAGAAAACTGCTCATATCTTGAGAAATTATCACCAGGAGATGTTGTTCTTGCTGATAGAGGCTTCAATGTGAAAGACACTGTGGGACTGTATAATGCACAGTTGAAAATACCAGCATTCACCAAAGGCAAGCAGCAACTGCATCCACTGGAACTTGAATCCACAAGGGGACTCGCTGCCGTCAGGATCCATGTGGAAAGAGTCATTGGCCTGGTCAGGAACAAATACACCATCCTTCAGAGCACCATCCCGCTGTCTCTTTGCCAAGCAGCCACTCAAGGACAACCTACTTCCCTTGACAAGATGGTAACAGTTTGCTGTGCACTTTGTAATGTCTGCCCATCTGTGGTACCCACAGAATAGATAGATACTATTTGTAAGTCGCTTTTGATAAAAGCGTCAGCTAAATGAAACAAAATGCTTATTGTGTATTCCCTTTTCTATGTATGTTGGATCTTCTCTCTATTATTTTTACAATTAATACATTAAAATGTCCAGTTTTGAACTAATAAACATCACTTTATCCAAGTATTTGTTCTTTGAGGTTTTTTAAATACTCCTACTTATACTACAATGCATCTGCAAGTATTAGATACAGTTATTTATTGCACAATCTACAGTGAATGAATATGTAAGGTTAATGGGTACACAAAAACCTGACCATGAAGACAAAAGAAAAAGACCAGTGTCTGACAAGAAGAGCTTATTTATTGTCAGCTTCTTAATGTCCCCCAGATGTTTTGTCAGAGGTTGCAGTGGGGGAGAAGCGTGGCACAGTAAACCATTTACCCAACAACTCTGGTAGTATCCCCGTTCTGATGAAGTTTACCACCTTTGAATGGGCAACATCAAAAATTGCGCCATCAAACATGATGCGCTGTTTAAAAAGTTCTTGAGGTGTCCACACAACAAAATCACAGAACATTACCTCTGCGACACGCATTTGTGCCTGCACTTGATACATATAGCTGTGATCTAGCTTTAGGCTCATCACACCTCCCTCAGGGACAGTCAGGCAGAACCACGAGTCTTTGGTGCATTCAAGTAGACTGCGGTCTTTAGCGCTGAAAGGACACTTAATTTCTAAAATGCCAGGCTCATGGCAAGCACAGGTCACGATACCATCTGGGGATGCACCAATCCATGGCAGCTCTGGGTTAAGGATGAGCCCTGATGCTGCAACATTAATGTCTTCATGGTGATCTTGCATAGCCACCAGGTAAGACTTTTTGGCAGTGTCCTCGTTTTGTAAACCCCATCTGAGGAAAAGAACATGTTATTTTGAACATTTTGGAAAAAACTCATCACTTTAAAAAGTCCCTAAAATACTGTTATTAGAATGTTAATATCTTGTTTTACCCTCATAATATCTAGTTACTCAATTATTGTCTTTATTCATGATGAAGTAGTGGAAAGAATGTATGATTTAGTCTTGTTGCCTAAATGTATATATATATATATACCTGGTCGCTTCAGTGGAAAACTGAGAGGAGCGAGGATAGCAAACTCTTTTAATCAAAGACGAAGAGCTCTCTGTCTTGGCTGCCTCATGGAAGGATGACGCAGTAACTCTCCCTGCTCTCTGCTCAAACCAGACCCTCGACCTACTCTGTTTCCTGGTCTTCTCCTCAACTAACAAACACTCAAAAAGAATTGAACTATCAAAAGAGCTGTAATTATCAGAAAGCAGTGAAGTTATTCTTGTTGATGTTTAGGATTTAGCATTGTGACACGCTTTTATTTTACCGTAAGCCATTTCTATTTCTTACCTGCTCTGGTGTGAGATTCAGCTCCTCAAAGACTTTGGCACCCTCCTCTAGCAGTGCAGGCAAATCCAGTACAAGTCTGCTGCTTTGATACAGACTGGTAAGGGGTGTTGGCAGATCCAGTTGTACAGTCTTTGGCGTGTATCTGTGAGAATGGCCTTCAATGACCGACAGGATAGCACTTTTCTTGGGCTTTGTCTCTTGTTCTTCACTTTGGTGGAGTTGTTCACAGAATAACTTGAAATCATCAGCAGATGGTCTCATGTGCTGAAACAGGTCTTCGGTTTGAACTTGTTCTTTGATGGCGAAGATGTTAGACACCTCATCGTACTTCACCATTTTAGTGCTAGGCTGTGTCCATGTGCATGGCTTCTCTGTGCATGTCTGGTTTTCTCTCTTCTCAACAGCAGCCAAAACTGTAAACATAAGTGCTGCTCCGTGGGAACAAACCTCTCCTAACCCTGCCATGCATGTACAATGCGCCATCACCACTGTCCCGTCCTCCTGCACCACAATCCATGGAGATGTTGGTTTGCTGTTCAAAGCCTGGGAATGATTGACCTGTTAAGTGAAAAATGCAGTACATTAATTTTGTCATATAAAAGCTAAACTCTCCTGAGCTTGTACAAATGTAAGATTCAAAGGTTTATTGTCAAATACAATAGCTACAGCGCAGATTGGCATTTAATATCTGAAGTCCCAGGCTGCTCCAAAAGTAGGCTACAACATACAATATCCTTAAGACATAAAAAAACAAGTAAAGATAGAACAACGCGAAATATAACAATAGTGCAATAAACATGGACCTATTGCAATTTGTCATTGAAAGAAGAGTATGTTGCTTTAAAACAATATATATAGCTACTGTAGCTGCCAGCTGGAGTTATGTTAGCTAGAAATACCATATGCTAGCAAGCTAACATCATCACTTTAGACATAAATACAACTATAATAACACGTTTTATGATTGTTGGTAAATTACTTACCTTCGCTGTGATCACATGTAGGTGTGTCTTCTCCACATGCCATATCTTGGTGTCGTTCACCCACCCGGCAACGGCGTATTGATATGCATCTGTGCTCTTAAAAGCCTTCAGGCTCTCTCCGGTGAATGAAGATGGATTGTGAACAAGATAAATATATATGTCGGGAAAAGTTAGTTGGGGAAGACACTTAGCCGAATTCAATAAACAAAATACAGTTGGGGGCAACAAATAGGGATCGCATCCAATAATCGCCGTCTTTACCAAATATCTCTCTCTCTCTTTCCCGTTTAAATGCGCTGTGTTTGCTGCCATGACGAGTGTAAACAAACTGTGAGAATCGGTCACAAAGATGGCGGCGGGCATTCCGGAAATGACGTACTTGGTACCCATACGGCAACTCTAATCGGACACTTGACACAGTGGCTTTTGGCAAAGCAGAAAAAGAACTGATAGAGATTAGTTATTGTTATTACAACGTGACTTCACTATTATTTAACAACTCTTTTTATTGGGTTCTTTTATTTGGGGTTAAGTACATTGTCAGAATAAGTGAGAAATGGATTTAACTTCTGTTAGACAGCTATATGCCATACATTTTTGCATACAATCAGAGTAAATATTTATTCAGTATGATAGCTGTCTAACAGAAGTTAAATCAATTTCTCACTTATTCTGACAATGTACTTAACCCCAAATAAAAGAACCCAATAAAAAGAGTTGTTAAATAATAGTGAAGTCACGTTGTAATAACAATAATCTCTCTCGGTTATTTTTCTGCTTTGTGTCAAGTGTCCTAGTAGAGTTGCCGTATGTAGTTGTCCAATATGGCGGACCATCTCGCACATGCGCAGTACAGATCGGGCAGGTGGACCGATCGGGTAGTGACAATTGTCGCGGTCGAATAGTCCAAAAATCAGCTCCTAAATTCTAACCCTATCGTCTATTCCTTGACCTCTGAGTGAAACGTCACGGGGTTAAGGGATAGTGGATAGGAGAATTCAAAAGGATTTAGAAGAAGAGACTGCGGTACTTTAGAGAATCCGACTGCACTTTCACTATCCGACGTGTTTATGATGCGCCAGCGGAGGTCATAAATGTGCGTCTGCTGCTGTGGGGAAACTATGGAAACTACAGTTTTCTATACAGCGGACTACAACATGGATGTTTAATAAGAACGAGGGACTACTGTAAACTCATCTAGAGACTCTGCACCGTGCTCTGATGCTGTTGCTTTATGCTTTATGAACGGGGACAACAGAGAAACATATTCTTCATGACCAAAGTTGGAATTGAAATAAAAAAGGAAAGTGAAACTTATGCTCGTCACCCTCTCCCTCCGGTCCACATTAATACAAATGATCCCAATACGTATGATTGAATGAAAAGATCTTAAAATCAATACAAATGTATTTATTATAAACGTTAGTCCTTAACATCTATCACTGTGTATATCACCATTCAAACATCTTTTAAAAGTTGAACAAACCCCACACAGCTCAGTAAAGACTGTGAAATGTTGACTTTATTTGATCATTTCAGTAAAAACTAACGTTCATATTTCTCTTTTTGATTATAATACTGATGAACGTTCAAAACAAAGCACTTTGGCAACTTACCACATACGTTTTAAAATGCTTAATAAGCACCGTAACTTTCATGATATCATTTCTCGTTCATAATCGGTTGTTTCCGTGAACGGCCGACTGTTGTGTGACGGCAAATGCCGCGGCCGCAAGGCATTGTGGGGCAGCATTTTCTCCTCTCCTTTAGGTTAGGGAGGTCCAGTGGTTCCTAAGCTAAAGGAGGTTATAAAGGAAGTTTGAAACCTCCTTTCCTTTCATTTAGAGAATTCGAACAGCACTTATCATGGCTGCCACTGAGGGACTTCCGGGTCATTTCACTCCGTTAGGAAGGTTCCTAAGCTAAATGGACTATTCGACCGCAACCAATGCCCCCCAAAATGCTCGTTCACATCAAGCACGTCCATTTGCGTACACGTAACAGCACCGCACGTTCATGACAGCATGGTAATGGGTTGTTATTATGATGGATTTGATATTAACGAGGCGGCAGTTAGCAGCTAGCGGTTAGCTAGTAATTATGCTAATTTACACATCAATCGTTATGTACTTTTATATTACGCTGTAACAGGATCTAGTGATATCCAAGCAACAGAGCTTCATTTAGCATGAAAGAATTATTGCACTATATATATATATATATATGTATATGTATGTATATATATACATATATATATATATATATACATATATATACATATACATATATATACATATATATATATATATATATATATATATATATATATATTAGGGCTGTCAAGTTAACGCGTTAATAACGCGTTAACGCAAAAAAAAATTAACGCCACTAATTATTTTAACGCATGTGTATTTTTTGTCCTCGGCCGCCCCGTAGTTTCAGAGCGCATTGAGTTTAAAATACCATCTACAAGCTGATGCTGACAGCCCCGCTCCTGCCGCCCGCTTGTGGCAGACCACACTTCCACGCTCACCGGCAGGCCCGGACTGGCCATCGGGAGGACCGGGAGGGTGTGTGTATGTGTGGCGCGACTCGCGAGCGAGGCACACCATACTTGTTGTTGTTGTTGTTAGCATCTGGTGCTAGCTAGCTGCGCTAACGGATATAAGGAGCTGTTTCAATGAAAACAGAGGAGCGACATTTCGCCGACAACTGCGCCGAGCACTTGACTTTATGCAGGTAGCCAGACAGTGGGACATTGTACGAAAAGTCAGCACACTCAGCACGGATAGTGCGCGCAACATGATTACAGCGTCCAGGCAGCTCCCGTTCGAGCATATATGCCTTGAGCTGCACATAGCTCCAACGATCCATCACAGTGTCTCCACATTCTCACACACACACACACACACACACACACACACACACACACACACACACACACACACACACACAGTATTGTATTATTGTATGAGAGAGGTTCCAGGTTGAATTGAGGCGAATATTTGTAATGTCAGAGGTTGTTGTGTTTAATATTCATGAGAATATTTGTCATTGTTCAAATGATAATAAACAAACATATAAAGCATATTTGTCCACTCATATGTTGATATGAGTATTGAAAACTGAAAAATATCCCTCTAAGGTACATTTAGAACAGATCAAAAATGTGCGATTAATTTGTGATTAATCGCGATTAACTATGGACAATCATGCGATTAATCGCGATAAAATATTTTAATCGACTGACAGCCCTAATATATATGTATATATATGTATATATATATATATATATATATATATATATGTATATGTAGATATATACATGTATATATATATATATGAATATGTATATATATACATGTGTGTATATATATATATATATATGTATATATGATTATAGGATCAAATAGCATAAAATATATATATATATATATATATATATATATATACATACACACACACTGAGTGTACACAATGGAGGTGTATAGTAGAAGATAATATAGGAGCAAATAGCATAAAATATATATACACACACACACACACACTGAGTGTGTGTGTGTGTGTGTGTGTGTGTGTGTGTGTGTGTGTGTGTGTGTGTGTGTGTGTGTGTGTAGCTGCCGCTCAAAGTGCCCTTCTTTATTGTTTTGTATTTTTGAAGAGTGTTGAGGCAAGTTTTCTTACCGGAAGTCATGTGACCTCTAGCCCGGATGTTTACAATGTTTGTGAGAGAGTAAAAAGGCGCGAACATTTGTAAATGCCGGCCTAGGCGAATACGTTTTCACGCTGTTTCATAATTGTACCAAGAAGGAAATAAACATGATTGTGAACATCAGTTCGATGCGATTTCTTTCAAGACAAAGTTACAGTGTGTGTACCTTTGCGTTTGGTTGCTGGTAAGGGGGACGAGCAAGCGCTGTGATCTTGAAGGCAAAGCTCGCTGCACAGTTATTCACAAGTCAAAACGTTTTCATAGCGGCCGACAATATCTAGCTAGCTAGATGTTATTAGCTAGCTCGGGGCCGGTGTTAGCCAGTTCAGCCTAGCATGGCTAGCTTGATCTACTGAGCAAATAAAAGTACATCTGAGACCATTATTGTGCAGATTAAAACCCCAGTGCATGTAGTTGATTTTACCTTCGTCGTGGTCGTCATCGTTGGCCACTGAATCCGCCGTTTGAGCGGCCTCCCACACCTTCGTGCCCGAATCGAAGGTCGATGCTGTCCGGGAGAAAAGGTCTGTGGCCTAGCAGAGCATCCAAGCGCTCGTACCATTTACTGGTCTTCCGGTCGTTACCACTCTTGTTATAATAGTCTTTGATTTGTTTGTAGTCCTGCCTGAGTTTCTTTATTTTTAGCCGGTATGCCGTGGCGCTGTGCACGATTCCCAGGTCGAGTGAAAGCTACTGAACTGGCTTCAGTAGCATTCCCTGGGTCGCGTCCTCGGCGTAGATTTCCAGAAGCGCCGACACCTCCTCATCACTCCACCGCATAACTGCTTTTAAAAGAAACTACTCTCCATTGGTGCGCTGGGTTTTTGTAGCGAGCAAATAAAATGGCGGCTCTACAAATCATTTCAGAGTTTTACGGCAATTCGCCCAGCCAATCAGAACTGGGGCACTTTTGCAGAGGGAAATAACTCTCAGAATAACGTTATTAGCACAACTTGAGGAACAAATGTTTTTAATAAGGGCTATACAAGTGTTCATACTGGGTAGTTTATTTTGTTTAAAAAAAACTATCCAACGATTTACAGACCACTCTTTCCCCTTGTAAGTCAATGGGAAAAAGTGTTTCCGGGCCTGGCAACCAAATGGAAGTGTAGTACCGCCGTTTGGCCACCACGAATATTTTCATCTGGGTCCGGCGCACTTCCTGGGGGCTTGGAGGAAGTGCCACACAAACCCTGAGCTCATTTATACAGTCAAGCAGTGGCGGCTGGTGGAAAATATTTTAGGTGGGGCTGTGGAAATGGTGACCAAACAATACTAGGGGGGTCCGGGGGGATGCTCCCCCGGTAAATTGTTTTGAGAAAAGACCCCCTAAATTATTACTTCTGGTGATGTTAGAGGGGGAGGGGGGAAGGACAATTTGAGGCTTCCAAATATGAGAAGACCAATCAATACCTCCATAATCTTCAGTGTGGTTAGCTATGAATCTTCCAAAACTTCCAAACACCTTGTCCTGGACATAGTTTCTACAGCATAAACTGTGCAACAGTACAGTAGGCCCACACAAACTGCAGAACACCGGGGCTTTGGGAACACTCAAAATTACTTAAAATGATTTAATTCCCATTTAACCTGTTAAGGGGCTTTTTTCCCCCGTTTTTTTTCTCACGAAACTGTGTCTC